TATAAATTCTAGAGATAAGTCCCTTGTCAGATATGTCATTACCAAATATTTTTTCCCAATCTGTAGGTTCTCTTTTGACTCTTTTATAGAAGTCTTTGGAAGCACATTTTTTTTTTTTAATACTTTTGAGTTTTGTTTAGCAGATGATATTCCTTCATTTGTGTTTGTATGTGCTATCAAAATGTCCATATGTAGCTTAAACATAATAGGAGACAAGGTTAGGATAACTTCTTAGCCACAAGTAAGCACCTTGAGGGAGTGGGTCTTAAGGTCATATTACATCAGTACAGCTTTGTCAAAAACCCCTTCTTTGGGGTCCATTCCTTGCACATTGCACTTGACTGAAGTGAAAATAATCCCTTCATTATTTATGGTTGTTTAGCCAACAAGGAACCCAAGAACAGGCCTCTGTGAAGTCTGATCAAATTTTGCTGAAATCAGCATAAACCTGTGTTTAATTCAAGCATTTTACTTTTCACTAAATTTTCTCTTTTACAAAGTGAAATCTGACATGTGTTCCATTTTTACCCTGAAGTCTGCTCCTACTTTTCGAACTCCTTTTTCTACACTACAGTCAGTGTAAGTCAAATATTCCATAACTGTAAGCGCATCGCCATTGTTCATAGTGGAGTCATTTACTTAGAATACATAAAGCACAGCTCCCTGCCTACAGAACTGAGCGCTGGGAATGCAGTGACAAGCAGGCCCCATGAGGTCCTTGCTCTCCTGGAGGTCACAGTTCATGGACTCTTCATAATAGCAGTTGCTCTCAACTTCACACTTACTTCAAGGTTCCCACTTGGCCATGCTGGCTCTGTCTCCGTGACCTTCCCAGGGTCACCCTCTGAAGATTTGTGTGTCAACAGAGTTTCCCACCTGTGGCTCATGTGAATTCCAGGCCAGCTGGTTCCATGTACTAGTTCTTTCCCCATCCAGCTCTGTCCTCCCCTCTCCCCTGCCAATATTTGTTGACTCCCGAGTGGGCTGGGGAGGCCAAGGGGTATGTGAGGTGACCTGAACTTAATGTCTCTGTTGACTATAACCCAGTGGTGCAGTGGTTAAGCACTCAGTGGCTAACTGAAAGGTTGGAGGTTCAAACCAACCCCTCACTCTGTGGGAGAGAGATGTGGCAGTCTGCTTCCATAGGGTTACAGCCTTGGGAACCCGACGGGGCAGTTCTACTCTACCCTACAGAGCTATTGTGAGCTGGAATTGACTCACTGGCAGTGGTAGTGGGGTTGGGGTTGAATGTACAGCCAGCCTGTGCAGATTCCTGACACAGAGTCTGACCCCCTCTCTTTCTTTGCAGGTCAGAGATGCTGTCATGGTGGCTGGCATTGCCGGAGTGGGCTTGGCAGCCATGGGCCTCATTGGGATCATGTTCTCAAGAAACAAGCGGCAGCAGCAATAACTTGGGGAGACTGCCCTGTCAGCAGTGACTTTCTACATTGAGGGGATCTCATTTTGCTAGAGGGTGTGGGGTTTGGTTTATGGATTTCATTTGGTTTTATAATAAGGCTTATTTTCACAGAATATAATAAAGCCCCACAAAGGAGGATTTTACTGGGGGAAATGCAACAAGAATGGCCCAGTGTGAACTCTGTTCCTGGTGACACCAGCTCGTGCCCTGGCCCAGCTACCATACTCTCTCACTTTCTCTTTGAGGGCTGTGTTCTCTGGGCTCTTTTCATTGTCAGAACCGGAGTCCAACTCCTTACCTCAAGTACCTGGGCGTCTGTAGTTGTGGGGAAGACACTGGGGCTGCGTGAATCTGATGGAGATACAAGCACAGGAACCGTCAGCCAGCCAGGACCCTCAGTCTGGAACTAGATCCAAGATGGCGCCCGGCACCTCCACAGCTGGAGTCTGTAGATGCAAAAGTTCAGTGGAGTTAAAAAAAAATCCTCCGCCACCAAGGAACACAGTAGAGGCTCTTGCCAGTTTTACCAAAACCTCCCTCATTTCTCTTTGCTCCCCACATCTCTTCCCTGCCTCATAGCTTCCTCCTCCTCGGCACACCTGCTTCCTTGCCACTTGAGCCCCCCTCCACCCCTCAAGTCATCCCGCATCCCTCCCAGCTTCCCTTTCAGCATCTGCTCCCCTCAGCTCCCCCACTGCCTGTGGCTCCCCGTGCCCCCATTTCATGTTCCTGAGCGAGGCCCTAATTGGCTTAGCCGACCACATCCTAGCTATGCCTACTGATTGAGTGCTCTTGAGTCAGGTGACCTCCCTGGGCCAATCAGCTCTGCCTAATGGAACCAGGCTCACATGATACAAATGTGGCCTCAGACTTTACTGGGCTGAGGATGTGGCTGGACCATGATTGACATCCCTGTGCCATTGAGCCCTCATGGAGGGGCTGAGCTTGGCACTGTCCACCATCTAGTTCCTCCTCATGTGCTTAGACCTTGGACCAGGGGAGAGTCTAAGACTCACACTTTCCTCTCTGAAATATGACGCTTTAGCCCTCTACTTCTTTTTGTAAAAGAAAATTGGAATCTAAGCCCTCTTTTGCCTGTTTCAAAATGCCCATTTCATTAAGGAGAGAAGTTGGGGAGAAGCAAGAAGGTTTCCATCCCCTACTCATTCAACCATAGCTGCCCTTGGCCAGAGGCAGTTACTCAGCTGTCATCTGTGTGAGATGGAGGCCAGCACCTGTGAGGTATGAAGGAGGCTGGCATTTGACCAGCCACTTTCACAGGCTGCTTGACCTTCACCATCAGCGAGTGGGAATTATATCCTATGCTCAGGAATGAGCAGCTGGGGATGGAAGAGGTGCAGTCACTGGCCAAGGTCATGTAGCTAGTACATGGCAGAGGTGGGATCCCCAATATATTAGTTTCCTGAGGTGGCTATGAGAAATCACCTCAAACTCAGTGCCTGGAAACAGCAGAACTCTGGAGTCTGAAGTCTGAGGGGAGTGTCACTGGGCCAAACTCTGAGTGTCAGCAGGGCTGTACTCCCTCCACATGCTCTAGGGGAGAACCCCTTCCTTGTCTCTTCTTTTCTGGTGGCTGACAGCTTTCCTGGGCTTGTGGCTGCATCACTCCGTGGTCCTCTCTGCCGCCATGGCCACATTCTCTACTCATCGTCTGTGTGTGTCAAATCTCCCTCTGCCTTTCTCTTATGGGACACTTGTGTTTGCATTTACAGCCCATACGGATAATCTCCTCATCTCCAAATCCTTAATCATTTCTGCAAAGACCTTTTTTTCTGAATAAAGTCACATTCACAGGGTTGTGGGATTAGGATGTGGATAAATCTTTGGGTGATCAGTTTTCAACCTGCCATTCCCATCAGACATCGTCCAACCAAGCCCAGGTGTCACATGGAAGACTCCAGCATGCCCTTTGAAAAGATCTACGTGGGTATCAGCATGAGGGCTAATTACAAGAGGACCATGCTCTGTGGGAGGGTAAAAGAGGCCTCTCTCCCCACTCAGGAGATAAGAAATGGGAGCCCTATCCCCTTCCCTTCCACCTGCCCTAGGCCTGATGTTTACCACGTTGTGTTCACTCCTTCACAATCAGATTGTTTTTCTGGAATCCATGAAGGTGTCTCCCAACCACCATTTACAGTTAGGCTCTTACTGCCCATTAGTCTAACTTCTCAGATGATGTCTTGTCAGATAATGCAAGAAACAGGACTCAGGACAGGTAAGTACTTGGTTTTGTGCAGTGATGTGTGAGCAGACCTGGAAGCTATGGTCAGCCTGGTGGGGACTGTGTGCAAGGGGTGGAGGAGACAGCTGCTCTGAGGGCTGAGGATGCAAGAGGGCCCTCTCCTTCTGTTGCACAGGTTACTTACTGCACAAGGGCCCCAGTGCTGAGGGGGCAAAGAGGGGCTGAATTCTTGCTCTGCTCCCCAAGTTAAGCACAGTGGAACAGGGCTGCAGTGTTCAGAGAAGAGGCCCATTTTAAAATTGTACGTGAAAGCTCCACATCCCTTGGCCAAGCCTTCTGCCTGCAGGGGCGCCATTTTCTAATTCACACAAAGACACTGTAGGGCCAGGCAGAGCTTAGGTGTCCGTGGGTGAGGTGGGGGGAGGAGGAGTTGAAGATGAAGCGGATCCACAGTTTTCCTGGGGACCCCTGCGATCTACACAAGAGGGAGGAGCCAACCTACGCCTGGGAGGGCTGAGGGAAGGCAGGAGGCAAAGAGACATGGCTCTGTGTCTGCCCTCACAGTGGGGCTGTTTGGGAGAGTAGGGCCGACCTGGAGAATAAAGTTCAGCGTTTGGGGAACCTCCCAGGGCCCTCAGCCGTTCCTTTGGCCCACCGTCCCCGGGCGCCCCAGCTGCATGTGGGTTCTGCGCCCTCCCCAGCCAGATCCCTTTCCTGGGGCATCTGAGCAGACACCAACCTAGTCAGCAAATAGCCGCTCCTGCACCCGTACTCCTCCCTCTGCTCCGGTCTTCCTCCCTGGTGGGGCCCCGCAGCGAGGCTGCAGGGCAGTTGGCCTCTTCGCACCGCCAGACCTCTGCCTGGCCACCTTTACTCCAGGACTCTCTGGTTTCCCCATTAATGTCCATCTGGGCCCTGGCCAGCCTCCTTCCTGCTGCTGGAGGAATGTAGGCCCTCTAGGCCTACACCTCTTTCCCCATCTGGGTGGATCACCAAGGAGAGTGCTCCTTGGTTCACCCTCTAATTCCTATTCCTGCCTCAGACTGACCAAAACCTGGAGCTGCGAGTTTATCCTGGAATCTTCCTCTCTCCCCTTCCCTATATGTCCTCTGCCTCCATAGCCCCTATTCGTCTAATTACCCTTGATCCGTGCCCAGAGCCAAGCAGCCCAATCCCTCTGCTCTTACCTAGTGAGGTGATTTTGAGTCAGAATTGATTAGATGGCAATGGGGATTTACCCTCGTTCAGTCTAGCTCAGCATCCTTTATTTGCAGCCCGCTGCTGCTTGGACCTGGCTGAGGTGCACATGTCTTTCTGGGCAAGCAAGGTCATTGCCTGATTTGGAGTGGGGGTTGGCACAGGAACACGTAAAAACTGAATAATATGTAGGATTTGGAAGAGGCCAATTGTCTTTCAGCAGAACCCTCCATAAGGTGCCCCAGCAGCTGGACTCGGTGTGGGGCGGAGGTCCTAGAAGGCTCCCGCTTCATCCCAGCAGGAGGTTGCCACGTAGGCACCACCTTGGGTTGGTCCTTGTAGCTCAGATGTTTATCCTATTGTTTCCTCTCAGTCTGGGGTGTGCAGAGGCTGTCTGGGACTTCCTGGGAGCACAGCCTTTGCACTGAGACCCAGCCTGGGTCATAGCCACCGGGGGCCTCTCTACTGGTGGTGACGGGGTTAGTGGAATCGGGCAGACATCAGCAAACCCCTGGGGGCCCCAACGCTGGTGGAAAAGTAGTGAAAGACCCCCAGGTGTGGCCCATGAGACCTCTGCAGTCCGGCCCACTTCACCTTCTCGTGGCTCTCTCCCTGCCTGCCCTCAATGGCCTGATCCCCAGTTTTGCCAGTGTATCCGTCAGGGTTCAACCAGAGTAATAGCATCAGTAAAAACCCACTACTATTGCGTTGATTCCAACTCACAGTAACCCTACAGGACAGAGTAGAACTGCCTTATGGATTTCCAAGACTATAAAAATTTACAGCAGACTGCCTCATCTTTCTCCCACAGAGCAGCTGGTAGATTCAAACGGCCTTTTTGGTTGGCAGCTGAAAGCTTTTAACTACTGCACCACCAGGGCTCCTGATAGAATACATAAAAAATAGCCAAACTCACTGCCATCGAGTCAGATCTGACTCGTAGCGACCTCTCCTTGGGTTTCTGAGGTGGTATCACTATGGAAGTAGATTGCCCAGTCTTCCTTCTGAGCAGTGGCTGGTGGGTTTGAATCTCCAGCCTTCTGGTTAGCAGTCAAATGCCTTGGGCACTATGCCACCGGAGCTCCCACAGAATAAATATTTATTAAGGGATTTTTTGGAAGGAATTGCCTTATCCTTTGTGGCAGCTGGCTAGACAAGTTTGAGTTTCATAGGGCAGGCCGTCAGGAAGGGCGTGCTAAACCCTTGGCCACGTGCTAAAGGCATTGTCCAAGGGCAGCCTTTCTTCTTCAGAGAAGCCCAGTTCTGCTCTTTAGGCCTTTCAGCTGATGAATCAGGCCCACCCATATTATCTAAGATGGTGGACTGGCAGAGAATGAACAAATCTGTCCCGGAAGAAGTGCAGCCAAACTGCTTCTTGGCAGCGAGAATGGCCAGACATCGTCTCACCTACTGTGGTCATGTTGTCAGAAGGGACCAGTCCCTGAAGAAGGATATCATGCCCCACAGAGTTTCCAAGACTATAAATCTTTACAGAAAAAGACTGCCTCATCTTTCTCTTATGGAATGGCTGGTGGGTTTGAACCACTGACCTTTTGTTGCTAAACCAAACCCCAGGGGTTTGCTGATGTCTGCCCAATCCCACCAACCCCCTGTCACCGCCAATAGAGAGGCCCCCTGTGGCTATGACCCAGGCTGTGTCTCAGTGCAAAGGGTGTGCTTCTAGGAAGTCCCAGGTCAGCGTAAAAGGGGAAGACCCTCAATGA